ATCTTTTGGAGCTGAAGAAACAGAAGTGCATTGCAGCAGTGCTGATACATACCAACCATTTATTCTCTTGCATCTGCTGGCATCAAGAAAGTTCACCATAGTCAATATTGCGCAAGTGTTTTCATGGAAATGTTAGCAACAAAAATACCACAGGAGGGTCCCTTGAATGCCACAGAAGAGGCGAATTAAGCGTGAACTGGGATACAATATTTCCATAGGTGCTGAGGAACAGGTCACATATACTGGTCACCATTTGGAAGCCCTCAAGAAACTGAATGTTCCCCTTCTAGCTTTGGAAAATGAGGCAATTTACAGGCAAAGAATGTGGATATTCAGTTCAGTTTTCCTTGTTTTTATTCCCAGGTACCTCTAGCCATTTATTTTACTATATTATAAAACAAAGGATTACCCTTAACAAATCTGATGGAAACATATAATCATTGAATCGTTTTGGTTGGAAAAGACCCTTAAGATCAAGTCCAATCATTAACCCAGCACTGCCAGGTCACCACTAAACCGTGTTCCTCACTGCCACATCTACATGTCTTTTGAACTTCTCTAGGGATGGGAACTCCACTACTTCCCCAGCCAGCCTATTCCAGGGCTTCAAAACCCTTCTGGTGAAATAATTTCTCCTAATATCCAATCTAAGCCACCCCTAGCACAACTTGAGGCCATTTCCTCTTGTCTTATCTCTTGTTACTTGGGAGAATAGACTGACCCCACCTCACTACAATCTCCCTTCAGGTAGCTGTGGAGAGTGATAAGGTCCCCCCCAAGAAAATGTTCAAGACTCCCTTTCTCCTCAAAAGAACCTTTCCAAAGGAAAGTGCCCCTTTAGATACAAGGCTTCAACACACAGGAGCATTATCTGCCAGATTCTGTTCATTTATTCTGCACCTCACACCTTCTTACACACACACTTCACCTCAAGATCAACATGCAGCTCCACGGACGTGAGCCTTTCACACTCACTCCTAGGGCAATCTCCTGCACAAACTACGGGGAAGTAACTGCCAAGTGCAGGCTCTATTATCTCCTTTCCCAAACTAGCTCTTACTTCAGCAGCACAAAGAGTCATATCCTTAGATGGAAGCATCTGTGGATAAGCTTTGGAGACTCAGCTCCATCTAAAGGTAAACAGTCCCTTCAAAACCAAGTCCCACTACTGCATAATGTAACATGATTTCACAGGTACTGGCAACCTCACCCTACCCTTCATGTCCTCCAGCTGGAGAACACCAAGGACACAGCAGCTTTTTGCCATTGTTTGGATGGACGGTCTGCATACAAAACCAACCACCAGCTGTCTGAAATCTTTATACAAAAAACTTTAACTTTTAGTTAATCCGCTCCTGACTAGTCCTAGAATATATGAACATCAAGCTGCAAAGTTGTTACTCTGGGGCCACAGATTCAGCAAGTTTCCTTTGGCACCCTGAGCAAAGCTGTGGCAGAAGCAAAACCTGAATTCACCACCACACTCTGTGCCAACAGCCCCACCACGTGGCCAAGCGCACCCACATCTCCTCTTGCTGTAGCTCAGCCTCTAACCAAACCTCTCCCAAAGCACTGTTGAAAGAAAACTTGCTCGCCTAAGCCAGCCCTATTCACGTTGCCCAAAGCCTAACAGAACGAGAGCTTCAAGACAGTTCTGAAGATCGTCTTCCCAGCCAGACTGTGGTGGCAAAACAAAGCTGTGAAAAAGAGGCTTCCTTCCTTCACAAGCAGCAAGACATACAAGAAAAGAGGTAGCATACAGCTTCTTCAACCTTTGTTCATGTTCACATACTGTGCCAAGCCACAATCTTAGTTGCCCACCCATTTCCCATCTTACCCATTACTACTTTTTCTACTTGCAAATATATAAAAGTTGGTTTAAATTCTTCCAAAAATTGGAACAAAACCCCATCCTGCCTCTGAGACAATCTTCTCATGGCCAGGAAGGAACCTACCTTCCTTTCTAATAGTTCAGTAGTTTATGGTGTGGAGTCTGTGCAGAGGAAGGACACTCACAAATACAGAAGGTCAGGCTGTGCTGTCCATACGTTTATTTGTTGATATGTCTGAGCTTGTAAGAGGAGGTATTTTCATCTCAGTAGAAACAAACAGCACTCTCCCAGCTGTACGGGAGCTGTTTATGACACATCTGCTGCCGCCAAGTTCCATGCCCTCTCCTCTACCCACTTCCCCCCATACACAATTTTTTTCAATTCTAAGCTAAAACTGTTCAACTCTAAGGAAGGTTTGAGGGACAGGATATGGACAAGCTGGCAAACAACCCACCTTCAGCTTCCTGCTTCTAGAAAGTGACCTTTTGAGGGGTAACCTATAGTCACACTGACCTTCTCAGTGATTTAAGCCACTGCCTGATGTATGCAGGTTCCCTAAAGAAAAGCTCTGGTGAGACCCAGACCATGCTAAATCAGAGCACAAAGCAAGTGTCAGCTTTATACTAACCTGAATTAGCATCATACCTGGTTACTCAGGCACACAAGCAGAGGTGTAGAGCCAAGTTTACAGCATATTTAGATAAAGACAGAGTGGATGTTAAATCTCCCACACAGAGATCAGGGCCACATCCCTGGCTTCCCAAAGACCACATGACTTAACTGCAGCCCAAGCACTACACTGGAAGTTTGCTACTAGGTTTATGTAGTATATGAAACATTGAAGTACAAGGAAAAAAAAAAAAAAAAACCACCACAAAATTAATCACATCTAAATACTGTTGTCAAGCTGTACAGCAGCTACTGACATTAAGTTATTCTCACAGGTAGACCACAGGGAAGGCTGTGAAGGTCTCGCTCCACTAGGTCTAGCCTGGCTATTCTCTTCTATCAGCTTCATCACCCATATCCTTAACTCACTTATTTCACACCAGTGCCTCTAAATAAAGGACTTCTGCAGTTTTCTTTGGTTTGGGCCTTGATAGAGGGCTCTAGGCATTTAGAAGGTACTAACGAGAAAACGAAATGAGAAAATTGAGTAACACTGCCCTCTTAAGGGAAGTTGAGCTGCATCACCTTAGCAAAGCCATCCCCCCTTCACTGCCATTCAGGTCACACTGGAGCTCCTCCCCTTGCCATATGGTTCAAGAGCAGTTCTTGAAAAACGGCAGTAGACTCACACCTAGGAATCAATTATCTCCAGATTTAAGGACATCGTTTTGGTTATGTGTTATAGGTATTTTAGGTACAAGCAAGTAGGCCCCTCTGAAGGCACAAGAGCCTATTGGAAATACAGAAGCCTGTCCCTGGAAATCTGAAGTTTTGTTTCGTCCTGACTGGAAGCCTTTTATTTTACCCAACAGCTGCTGTTGCAAAACCCCCAAGAGCAGGAACCAGAATTTAACATTTTCTTTGTCCTGCATATTCCCAGTTCACTTGGCTATGTAAGTGTGATCTCTCTAGCCTAGGAATCTTGATCTTTATATGCAGTTTCCTGAAGAACAGTAAGTTTATCCCATCCAAGTCATCTGCTGCCTGGAGTAATCCTTCAGAGTTATCTGTTTGAAGGTGTTAGGAATCACTTTCCCAAGAGCTGCTGTAAGATCCAGGCTGTGGAACATCACCTCCAGCCAGTCTGTATGAGAAAGCAGATACTACTGCTGTATTTATAGAACGTGAAGTCACACGAATTTACTTTCAATCATTATAGCATCATCAAAAAAAAAAAAGCCATATGCCAAAATTTTCAGAGAAGTTAAAAGGAAGAAACCTTGGCTTCCAGTATCTTGTCAAGCTGGGGTATAGGCTAAACTGGCACAAGAAGCAGGGAGATCACAAGAAAGCTAAGGGAAAACTCTACACAACCTTTGCTATCCCTGTTCAAAAATTTCACAGTATAGCAAGCTGGGAAATACCTAAAAATTATCACACCATTTTTGCACAGACATCAAGCTCATTAGCAAGTACTGCCAATGAGAAGCAGCATCTTCCCATAGATAATATCTGTGCCACACTAGAATCCATGCTGTGGCAACGGGACACCTGCACATGAAGAACATAATGCTGTAATAAAACATAATGTTGTGCTACACGCCCCCCCCCCCCAAAGCACAAACTGTACTTGATGGAAATGGGAAAACAGTATGAGAAGCTTTGCACTACATTAAGATTTGCAGATTAACAGACTTTCACTGAAAGCCCTACATGCTACAATGTAAGAAAAAACCTAAAAGCAAAACAGAAGGGTCTGGTGCCTCAGTAAGAGTTTGTTGCTAACTGACTTGCCAGCAACTCTAGGTAATAAAGAGACATGGATGAATTAAAACCAGAAAGATATTATTTGCACAGGCTTGAATCCTCCACCCTTCATCATAAAAAAAAGTCTTCAGCTGTAAAAACATACAAACCAAAATGTTTAAATTGGATTGTTGTGTGTCAGGTCAGGTGGGAGGGACACAGAAGGATGGGGACATAAGTGGTTTAAATAGCCTTATATCCTCTATTTTAAAAATTAATTTTATTTTTTAAAAATAATTAAAAGCTGTGGTAAACTGAGTGCCATCACAAGTTAAGGTACAAAATATTCACCTAATTTTGTTTTTTTGATAGGACCAAACACTGACTTTCTAACAAACATAGATGAAGGTTCAATACCCCACAGAGCAGAAATGATAAGTTCAAGCATCTGGAGGTACCATACTGTTAACTGAAGCGATACTCTTGAGAGTTTACAGTCACTGATATTCTTGAGGAGAGTAAGTTGGCATTTACATGGATGCTACTGCTTCATCAGGATTTAATCTTAATTGAATAACAGTAGTGGAATATCACCTATGACTGACTCATCTTGAACAGCGTGTCCATTCAGGCCAGACCACATCTTCCCATATCAAAGTTTGCGGAATGGTTTCTACCTAAGGCAGGTTTCTGTCTAAATGTCAAGCAATTTGGTATTAGCAAGACTTGCATTATTACCACTAAAATCAGACAGACTAAAACAATACAAACAGGTTATACAGCGTTTTCTTGTCCACATTAGTGAGCTCACAACATCAGGATCTGTCTAGAAAGCTAAGTGTCTTCTGACATGGTTTGTGAGAAAGCTGGCTTTCCCCTGGAATAATCATCCCTCCCATGAAAAGCACAAGCTCTTGAGTCCAGACATGAGGATAAACATAAAAATATAACACAAGTGAAGACAGGTCTAGGAACTACTTCCAGGAGTCTGAACTCTAAGCAGCCCCTTCTTTAGTTCAGCAATTTTATCTTCTCTTGAGGCTGCATAATTCCTTGCTATGTTAAGGAGAGACTCGTGACGCTTCTCCAACCCAGCTTTCAGATTTAGGTATATTTCCTAAAAAAAGAAGATAAAGGAGGGAAAAATAAAAGTTAAAGTAAAATCCTTAAAACGCATAAACGTTAAGTGACAGTAGTCTGGTGGCCTCTATTTCAAAGTTACCTCTCATCCCTGGCTTAAGAAGCAGCATTCATAGAACACAAGGAAGTCAGAAAACATCAGAATAAAAGCAGCAACACACAAAATTCCAGCATTATGATTCTGATGTAACTCTAGTGGCCACAATACTAAAATAGGCAAACACCAGCACTAGGCCAGTATTCACATTACTACAGCCCTATGCTGTGTTAACCTGTATCACCAAGGTCTCCATCACTGACTGCTACAACTGTTCCTCCAGCATGAGATTCCTCCAGTACTTCAGCATCTAACAGACAGGACGAGGTGCTATAGGCATACTGTGATTCCCTACTCCCAGCCCACCAGGATTTCTGCCTGTTGCCAAAGCTGGACTGGAGAGTCATCTTCCTGAAACCCTAGGAAGTGCCTGTGACATGGCGAGTGGTCCTGTGTTTGAGGGAGACTCTTGAGAGAATTACAGCACTGCCTATCACTACAACATGAGTGTAAAGCCTCACAGGTCAGATCCCAGGGTCAAAAAAAAAAAAAAATAGCCAGCTGCTCAGAGCTGGAAGTACAATGACAGAAAAACACATTCATGGAACTAGCATAGTATCTACAAAAGGCAAAAGGGGGAAGACAAGTGTAATTTCAGCTCCCAAAATACTGGACAGTTACACCATTCCAGAGACTTTTCCCTCAGGTCTGCAAAGCCCCTTCTCCTATACAGCCTGCAGAGATGAGAACAAGCCCCAGGTGTTTGGTTGCTAACCCAACAGAAACACCAGTAGGAAGTGCTCTCCCTGCCCTTATCCACCCAAACCACTACCTGTGCAGTCTACTTGTTTTTAGGGTCAATAAGTGTTTCATTATCTATGCAGCCCAAATTAAAAATCAGTTTCAAGAAGTCCAAACAGGATTTCTTTAGGAAAAAAAACAACTCACCTTGGCTTTCATTTCTTGTTTTTCAGCATTCTCGTTCAGCTGCTGAATTTTGAACCTTGTCTGTTGGATTTCCTTGTGAATGGCTGTTACTTTGTCATATACAGCACCCCTCTTCTCCTGAACTCTGTTACAATATCTAAAAGTGGGAAAAATAGTAAGTACAGAGCCATTTGACTAACTCCAGATTACACTTAACCTCACTACAAGCAAAGCTCACGTTTTAGCAGTATTAAACATGCAGCTTCTAAAAGTGATAAAAAAGCTGTATAGAATTTAGTTGCTTGGAAATTTGTCCAATTCTTAAACTAGAAGAACATAGGAATGAGAAATGAAATTCAGTGTGGAGTTAAAGGTTATGTTGAAGATCCTCAGTTACTGTCCATCACAGTAGCTCAAGTGACTCCAGTGGAATGAACCCAACAGCTGGACACTGCATCTTCCTGCCTGTGAATGATGCAGTACAGGTGTCAGTGGAGAGCCCTGCTCAAAGGCCAGCCACAGGATCAGGTTCAAAGCTGCACTTGATGTTTCAGCATTATTTTCCTTAGCCCCAGATCCCCTCCCACCAAGTCTGAGCTCCAATCCCATGCATGTAGCTATGTTATCTGCAACTTCCAGTCCATCGTTTCACTGCATCCCAAACATTCCCCCAGCTTGTGGGCAAATTCAGAGAGCTCCAGCTATGAGCTGCCAGATGATCAGCAAGAGGTTAGTGTGGGAACAGAGCAGGTGATCTACTCTGACTTCAGGTGCAAAAAACACAACTGCCAGTTTGTACTTCGCTTTTGTGCAATAATTACAGTTGGAACCGTAGCAGCTGCTTTCTCTAAAGAATGGCTGAAATGATTCATACTTAGCAAGAGCCTACTTACATCTTCCTACCTCACGGGAACAGTCAAGACACATTGTCTTATTTACCAGCAACAACTCTTGTTTTCAAACCAAGGTTACCTCCTTTCCCCTCTTGCTTACCAAAGCATCTGATTTTATCACTCAGGGGAAATATCTAACACTAAAATCAGAGAAATGAGAGGCAGCTTTTAATATAATCTGATCCTCCTTTGTTATTTTCATTCTTTATTTGGAAGGAAAAGTAGCTTTTAATTAATCTGCTTTAGCTGGTACAATACACTAAATGAGGAACAAAGGAAGCCTGTGAATCTTGCTGCCATTCTACACAGCACAGAGGCTTTACCAGCATGACTAAATCTTGGCTGTCTCTCTCAGCTATGTGGAAGAAGCTCTCTTCCATCACAGTTAATCTACCCGGCCAATAATCTTCCATATTTGCTTTCCTATCCATGTACAAAAAAAGTTATTTAAGCAGATTTCTCTGTAAGAGTTTAGTACTTGGAATCTCAGTGTGAAGCCATAACCTTACAACGCTGCAGTTTGCTGCTGCAGAAGTGATTGTTGTGCTGTAAACACTGCCTTGCAACTTGCCTTTAGCATACGGTAGGAAAGAAGAAGGGCTAAGAGGCTTTGATCAAATGACACTTTTCCTTTTGTTTTAGAAGCATCATGTCAGGATAATACTCCTCTGAGACACGAGCCCCATTTCCCCATGGGTCTTGAACATCTTTGATAATGAGCAAAAGTGGCAAGGGAAATTATGAAAAATTCATGAAAGGCAAATGGGGCTTTGTTGAAGTCTGATAAGTTGGAAAATTATCCCAATGTGACATTCTCTTTAAGACGATAAAAGAATCAAGAATAAGCATTATAAATTAAATTAGTGCTCCAATAAAAGAATTGCTGTCAAGTCACATTGCAATTATTGATTTGAGACCCCGAGTCCCTGCCTGCAGCATTACTGGTCTTCATACAAAGCTACCCCACATCGCTCATTTTCCTCTTCCTGCTAAGCTACGTGTTGGTACCAGGCATGACTTTGGTAGCACATAACAAAGACATAAAGTAGCACCAGGCAGAAATGTCAACTCGTCCATACTCAAACACAGTGTGCTTATATTGCTCAACATCTTCACGCTTCTTTTTAATCCTTATTTCAGCTGTAGACAGCTTCTCATGTTTTGCAGTGACCAGTCTCTTTAAGGACATTTCATCTGTCTTCCCCTTTTTCAGCTCGATCTGAGCACTCTCAAGCTGGTCCTCCAGATTTCTGACCTAGAGCACATAAGTAGTATTGAAAAAAAAAATTAAATGGGGGGAGAAATAATTGAAACATACCCCATCAGATTAATAAGATTAGAACTAGCTTCCTGCATTCTGAAAATCTGATTGCCAATTTTCCCAGTCAAATTTCAGTTCTAGTCTTTTATCTAATTTTAAATATATCCAAATGGACAAGATGCCACTTAGAATGATGCTGAGAAGTTACTACAAGTTCTGCTACAGCTTTTAGCCAAGGGTAATTTGAACATATGCTATAAAATTCTCAAAAACACTGCATAACTTTTTCCAAGTGCTTCTAACAATTGCATTCTCCCAAAGCTGAGTAGCAAATAGCAAAGTACTGTATTGTGACAAATATTTCATCAGGGAAAGTCTGGCTTAGTACAATCAATACTTAAAGGCACTTAAGACATGACTCTTCTTGAAGCAGTCATTTTTTGCTCTTAAGTTTCTGCTCTCTAGGCAGGAGAAACTGGATCTCACTTTTCTTCTTCCATCATTTCCTATCAGCAACCCCAAGACAGTTAAAACTATTTTAGGTCAGGTTTCTATGGCAACGAAGGCTTTGACTATTAAAAGTGGTCAACAGTACATTAGCTAGAGGCACACAGCAAAGCAGCAGCTAATTTTTTAAGAATGAGATTTTGAAGTTATCCAGATTCTTTCTGGGGAAGAGAAGAAATGGGAACTTTCAAAATGCCCACATTTATTGATGATCACCTATATTGCTTAGACATTAAGTTCTCCCTAACCAGATATTATTTAAACAATACGAACCTCTGATAATACACTGGCCAGCATCTCCACATTTGCTCCTTGTCGTTCCATCTTCTTTTGATATAACTGGACCTCCAGCTGGCATGATGGCAGAACCTCAACTAGGTCTCTGTAACCTTCATATTTCTCAGTAACTTCTTGCTTTAAAGAGAAAAGGGCCATTAATAAAACAGCTTTGGAGTTCAGCAGTCATTTTGTGTAGTATTACTGCATATTGCCCTTTGCACCCATTCCCTCACTGTTTAGCATACACTAGAATTAATATTTACTGGTTACTGAAATGAGATCTTCAGTTTGTAAAAAAAAAAGTATCTATTTGGAAAGCACAGAAAAAGTGACATGCAACTGTTTTACACTGAACTTTTATAGGACAGAAAAGCAGCTGTACAATGAAGAAATTCTATGTGGGTAAAACAGGAATTATGTAGAGCTTCATAAAAAGAAAGGCTGGAATTACAGCAATAAGTTTACACCTTTGGAACAAATGCCTAGGGAGACACTTATCCAAGCTTCAGTGATGCACAAGCAATCATGAGTGACAGACATTTAAAGACTGGACATCACTATTAAAAAAAAAAAAACCCAAAACACTACACCAAAAAGCTAGGAAGGGAACTCAGCATTCAGTGTACTAGTGGAAACAGCCACAAAGTCCAAAATCAGTGAATGGTAACAGAGACACTATGAAGTACGTGTTCTAAATTCAAGGAGATTCATGAACTGCCAAAATATTGCCACCTCTTGAGAGCAAACAGCCTGACAGGTATAGTACAGATTCAAGAGTTCTACACCTAGCTTTACTAATAAACAGTTACCCATCAATGACAAAGTAGCAGCAACTGCATTAAAACACAAAAAAACCTAAGCCAACAAAAAAGCCACCAATGAGAAAAAAAAAAAAACACCAAACACACTAACCAAAAAATAAACAGCCCACCCCAACAAGCACCCTTCAGTTTTCTCTGAAGTCATGATTTCATTTCAGACTAACCACTGTTCTGATTTTTTTTGATGAGAAATGCAAGCCCTTCAAGAAGCAGTTCTAGATGACAGTCCAGTAAAATGTGCTTTTCCTACTGGAATACATCCTTGTGTAAACAGAGGAAAACCTCACCTTGGATTTCTTCAGTTTCTTAACAGTCTCTTTCATCAGTTCTTTGTAATTTTTCAGTTCCTCTGGACTCTCCACGATTTTCGATTTCAGCTGCTCTTGTTCTTCTTTCAAAGTAGCCATCATCACTTTAAGCTCATTCTAGTTAACAAGACAAACACTTTCAATACTAGCACTTAGGTGAAAAAAGAGGAACTGTGAAGCCTGGTTTGCCAGGATCTTATGACTAGGCAAGTTCTTTTCTGGTTTAAGTCATTCCTCAATAGAAAGTTTGTTTTAAAAATAAAATTCCTCTAAACAGCATTAACATTCCCTATCAAGGCAGTTAACAGTCCACTTTACTCCCCCAACTTGCTTACAGGGGTGCAATATTAAGTCACAAAACCAACATTTAACCAGCACTCCACAAAAAAACTGCGAGCTAATAGGTATTAACAGTAGCTCCCTCCTTCATAACCTCTCACCTATGGAAACCAAGGCAGTAACCCCAGGGTTTCAGAATGAGCTCTATCAACCTGGTAAAATAGCAACAAGCTTCCTGTGCAACCTCTCAAACCCCTCCTGTTTGGCCCCACGGGGTCAGTGGCTGCCTCAACAGCCATTCTATGCACTTAAGCTAAGTCTGCAACTCTGAGAAGTCCAGATTTCTTGCCCTTTAACAGATCAGCTTCCTGAACACAGACAGAGCTTTACATTGCAGAGAGGTGTACTTAAAGTTAACAATTACACAAGCTACTGCATTAAAGCTTCCATGGGGGGGAGAAATTAAGCCAAACCACTTTTTTAAAATAAACTAATAATCACTACCTGAACATTACCTAGCTCCAAGAAGAATTTGACCCTAGAAAGAGAGATGATCTATTCATTGATCTGAGACACAAGCTACAGCCTATGCCTGCACACAGGTGTACTTACCAGTTTTCGGGTACCCTCTGCCATTTCTGACTTTTTTTGTGAAATCACTTCTTGCAAAGCTGCCTAAAAAAAGGAATAAATTTTAGATAAGCACCTCTACAACTGATGCCTCCTTTACCTTTCTCTCATAGATGTCTACAAGAGAAACCTCACATATGGTTTCTTGGGAATGCTCTAACAGACAAAATTGTAGTATATGATTTAAAAGACGGGGAAGGAGAACACTGTCACAAAAACTACTGGTGACAAAATCTGCTGGGAGTACTGGGGATGTAGCCAGCAGTAGGTAAGTAGGCACAGGGGTATGAGACAGACTATCTGTATTCTTACTGACCCTGGAAGTGTTACACCCACACAACTTTCTTCACCAGAGGCACTAAGTTATTACAAGGTCCCAAATAATTGAGAATTCAAGCCTATAGTTAATATAGTAATAGCAGAGATGTGACATAACACAGAAAAGCTAACCACAGGCTTCCCCCCCGCAAGCAGCCAAAAAAGGCTACATATGAGACCTCAGATGCAAGTCAGCATTACTGTAAAGTTACCCCAGCAATCAACCCTTCTCTTTTTGCCAGGCACTCCCTTGGGTCACACTTCTTAGGCCCCATTTCTTGCCATGGCTCACCACCAGTTCCAGTTCTTCAGATTCAGGTGGTAAACAAAGGGAACCATACACATCACAGTTCTGAAGCACAACACAGGTATCTCCCAAGTCATTGCAGTAAAGCATTTCAAGAAGAGCCAGGTTCACTTTTGTATTCCTTAAGTCTAATTTCAAGTACATTTCACATTCCCTACAGTGAAATTAAGGGTCGGTGATAGAGGTTAGACAAAGCATTGGGTTGCAATGACCTTTGTTTTAAAACAGAAAAGTCCCCTTTATCCTTTGCAGTAAAAGGAGGAGGGGAACAAAATCAACAGAAATAAGCAACACCCATGATCAGAAGCATTTCAGAGAAATATTGTCAAGATCATACTTGTTTCCGACGATAGTCCTGCCTCAGTAGCTGCTCCAGTTCTCGAATGTTCTCTGTCAGTTGCTTGACTTCTGCTTGATGTTCAACTGGGACAGTGCTAAGCAAAAAAATAAAGATATTGCATAAAGTTTCAACATCATTATAATCTGGTCAACAGTACAGTCAATAAAGCAATCACTCTCTCCAATGAGATTACAACCAGTTACTTCAGTAATCAGGGCAAGACAGTCTCAAATTAATACACCTCACAAATAAAATAGATTTTGTAATTGAAGCATAATCTAAACCAATATTTTGGCAAGAAATGGTACAGGCATAACAGAGGACTAAGTTTAAAGCAAAGCACAAAAAAGCAACACCTACCAATTTTTGTGGTAATTATCATTTATGAAATTTGCATATTACTGGTCATAAAAACAACTTGTATTAGAGTAGGCCTACAGCTAGCTAGAGAACCTCCTGCCCAGCATGTAAGAGCAGCTATCGGAGGAAAAACTTCTTGTTTTGAAAGCTATCTTGGAAATGAGCCAACTCTTCATCCTATTATCCACAAGCAAAAACAAAACTTAATGGTGCAAAGACAGGCAGCAAGACTAAGCGGCCTGAAACGGAGAATGGGGCAAATGTGTGTCAACTGAAGGAAGACAACTTTACCCATCTATTAAGTGAAAGATGGGCTTCCTACAGCTATTGAAGAAAGACATATCACTAAAAACTAACTATAACAGCAAAAAGTTTCACCATAGTCCCCAGCATACAAAATACAGTGTCCTCTCAAAGCAATCATATACTCCCAAAGTCACATTCTATTTCCTGCCAACAACTTTTCTAGCCTAACACCGGTAGAGCCACTTCTGTAACTGAGCACAAGCCATCACAACATCACTGTATTTTCTGGACTTTTTCCCCAGGAAGCTAACCAGCAACAAAGTCAGACAAAGGCCAAAGGAGAAGTCAAGTCTGCTCAAATTAAAAGTTCCTACAGTAGTTATCAAAGTGAAATCACAAGGGCAAATTACTCTGCTGCTATTCAGGCACCCCAAATACAGTCATAGAATGTTTCAAGGGGATGAGACATCTACCACCTCTCAGGGCAACCTCAGACAGTGTTCCACCAGCCTCAGTGTAAAAAGGGTCTCTCTTATATCTAGTCTAAATCTACCTTTAGTCTAAAACCATCACCCCTCATCCTGTTGCAACAGGCCCTGCTAAAAAGTCTGTCCCTATATTTCTTATAGGGCCGCTAGGTACCAACAGGCTGCAATAATCATTCATGCATTTAAGATCCAGTCCAATTGTAAGGCAGCATTGCCAAGTCCACCACTAAACCATGTCCCTCAGCACCACATGTACACAGCTTTGAAATCCCTCCAGGGTTGGAGAGTCCACCACTTCCTCAGCCAGCCTACTCCAGGGCTTCAAAACCCTTTTGGGGAAGAAATTTTTCTTAATGTCCAACCTAAACCTCCCCTGGTGCAACTTGAGGCCATTTTCTCTTGTCCTATCACTTGTTCCTTGAGAGATCAATCCTCACCTTGCTACAACCTCCTTTTCAGGAAGCTGTAGAGAGCAAAACAGGGGGATGATCCCTGCCCCAGTCCTGCTGGCCACACTATTTCTGATACAATCCAGGATGCTGTTGGTCACCTTTGCCACCTGGGCACATGCTGGCTCATATTCAGCAGTCTGTCAGCCAACACCCCCAGGTCCCTTTCCAGCTGCTGTTCCCCTAGTGTGCAGCATTGCATGGGGTTGTTGTGAGCCACGTGCAGGAACGAATACTTGGCCTTGTTAAGCCTCACCCCACCGGCCCCAGCCCATCGGTCCAGGCTGTCCAGATCGTGTGCACTAGAGGAGGGAAGTCAGCCAAGTCAAGCAGCACATCTCAGAGTGCTTACTTAATCTTCATACTCACTTCAGTTTCTCCAGCTTCAGCACTGCCTCCCGATTTGCTGTCTCCAGTTGTTGGTGTTTCTCCATAGCTGATTTCTGCAATTTAAATATTCAGAGATATTTTTTATTTTAGAGGAATAAGATTTCTCTCAGGGCTTCTGTGAGACCCCTGCTCATCATTATTCTACATGAAATGCACCATTTCTGAATTATTGAGATATTCAGGAGAAGCCACGTGCAATTCTAGCTTCAGCCCACTGATTGGTACATCCATCTTTTCTCAAAAGAACGTGAGGTGTCAAATCTTTGCTTAAGAGGTTACACTATCAAATAAGTTACTGGGAAAACAAAAACACATTCAGATAATAGGGTAAGTAATAACTTGGTCATGGTCATACAGAAACTTTTACAATATTGACAAGCTCTTCTAAAATGACAGGTTTTGCTGATGGCTTTGCTAAATTTTTTTCTTAAACCACTTACAGTATCTGTGTAAGCTTACAACATGTTATACAAATTTTACATAATATTAAACTGGCACTTTCCTGTGTTACTTAGCTACGTTTAAGATTCCAATGTGTTGTTTAAACATACAATTTAAAAAAAAAAAACACCTTTATGCTCCCAGTGCTATGTTACCTACTTAAGTATAATTAATGTTATCTGGAGTAACATGGCACCAAATCTTACATAGTTCATTTGTAACTCCAAGTAGACCTCACGTCGGAATTCTCTGAAATTCACGAAGTTGAGAATGCCGCTCAGGAAGCGAACTGTCCTCTTTGTTTCTGAAATAGGAATGGCAAGCCATCACTGTTCCAGTCTCCTCATGCATGGATGGCAACTGCTTAGAAAGTTGAAATAACTCAGAAGAGACAAGTTACAAAAGATATTCCAAATTATTTTTTTCCCCTGCTCACATAGCAAAGATTTCACAGACTACACAAAAACTAGCACCAAGCTATAAACTTCCAATGTTTTAGCAATTCCATGCAATTTGACAAATGAAAAGGGCACCTACGAGAAAGACTTTTAAAATACAGCATCCTATTAAAACAGATGTCAGGGAGAAAGAGTGCAAATCTTCAGCTACAGCTCTGAAGACTGTAACTCACTATCACGTTAACTGAAGACAGCGGTTTGAACTGCAGGGACTTTTTGGTTCTATTCCAAGCAAACTTTATGAAAGATGATTATAAAAGTCTTGAATGTCTTAAACAAGACTGAGTCAGAAGTGAGTTCTTCAGAACAGGCTTTTCTAAGTTTGTGTTCTACCAGAACCATCACATCCGGGTATGTGGAGGGAGAAGCAAAAAAGTGAGTCACTACCTACACAGGCATCAGGGCAAGAATCCTGCAGCATCCCAGAGCTGCCAGGCTCATTCTCATTACCATCTATTCTTACACTATTGAGAGTATATCACAGGCTGCTCTCCAGAGCAGCAGCTCAGACTCATAGCATCCAAAATTCCCCCCACCCAAGTTATTTAACTGGATTAGCCTACATAAGGAACAAGGAGGAGAACTGCTCATCGGAGCCAGCTTGTCCAAGGGCCACAGCAAGGGTCAGAAGAGTAGCTGGAAGCCTGGGACAGCTCTGTGTACAAGATGCCCAACGGGCTATGTCACAGAGAAGCAGCAGCTGGATATCATGTGACACCCAGCACCCCACACAACACAAGGACTACAGTGAGTTTGCTTACTTGGGTTTAAAACATCGGCAATTTGAAAGTCATTAATCCGGCACACGGGAAGCAGGCGCTCCCTGCGAGGGAAACAAAACACAACCTTATCTGCAGTGACCATTACTCAGTTCCTGTGCTGTATCCATTTACTACAAACTTCATCTTGTTCTCTCATCCCACAGCATACGTACAGCAAGCACAAGGCGACAGCAGCTCCCACAAGACTAACATAGCAGGACTCTACACACAGATTAGCATTAGAAATTTGTATTCTTGCAGCATCTCAAAGATTCCTATAGACAAAATGCTTACCTGTAGAACAACTTTTCAGCTTAATTAGGGAACTCATACACTCAACTGTTAGCCAGTTCTCCCCTTACAACAGAAAGGAAGCTTCGAGTCTATCACTTGCCTCATTCCAACATAGACATCTACACAGAACTTGGACAGCAAATTTACACAGCAGGTACTTAAGGTCCCTTCTCTAGGTGTAATGATGACCCATTTGAACCTGTGCTCCATCTCAGTGAGGCTGGATTATTTCATTAATACATCCACTTTGACAAAACAGTTGCCTGCTGCAAATTTTACTCCATTAAACACTGCTGTCCTCTGCCCATCTGCAAATTTCACTTTTCTCAGAGCCAACAAGCAATGGAACCAGCATCAGCAGAAAGGCATCAAGCCCCACTGGCTCTAACAAATTGGACCTTTACAAGGAATAGCAACCAAACAGATGCTGCACCTTCTACTTACATGTGGATATACAAATTACAAACAGGTAGAAAGCCTTCAAATATCTGTGGATACATTATGTCAACATTGACTGGCATCTAAAGAGGAGAGAGAGAGAGATACAATGCATAAGTAAAGAATACTTAAAAATACACAGGTCTGTTTCAACATAGAATAATTCAAGCAGGTTAAACACACTGAGGATGGTCTCCTTACTCACAAGGAACACTTCAGAGGCTGAAAAAAGCCATCAAGTTAACCAGCGGACTGTTTTAAGTGCCAATTTTGGCTGGTCAAATATAAAAAGACAATAAAGCAGCAATTTACAAAACACTACAACCTCTGGAATTCAATCTAAACCCTCAGTTTTGTTCAAAAATGGTGCACATGGACAGTCTCTGCATTGCACACCTAACAACAAGAAGCTCTTTCTTTAAACACCTCGTAATTCACACTCAATTGTTTTATGAATTCAGAAGAAGGCAGGGGTACACCACTTCTGATAATTTAAACCTCATAAGACTGAATGTAATTGCCCGTAAGAACTGGGTTATCTTGCACACATATGATCTTTCCTTCCAGTTTATCCAAAAATGGTCCAAGACAATATTACCTATTCTCACTTCCAGGCATCAGTTCTTGTCTAACAGAGACAGAAGACAGCATTAATCAAAAAAAGTATCAGTTAACATCCAGCTGCACTTCTTACTTTCCTCTCAGTTAATGGAGAAGTGGAGATGACCAAACATTAAAAGCAACATTTCCTTTCCTTCTGGGCCAGTTTAACATCTAAGCAGAGATCCTCCTCCAGCCACGATCACAGGCAGATGCCCAAGAAGACAGCATATATTTTCAAGACCAGAGATGGTGTTCCTTCATAAGCACATCTGTAAGGTCCAGGAGGGATCAGACACTTATGGCACCCACAGCATCTCAAAGAAAAGAATCCTCAGCTTAACTGCAGAAGGAGAGGGCTCTCCACAGAGCACTCCTTACAGCCTACAGTGGTAAGTGAGCTCCTCTTCATGACCACTAATTCCTGTCATGGAGAAAGGAGTCTCCTTTCCATTAAAAAAAAAAAAAAACAAAAAACAAAACACCACAACACACACACCCCACAACAACAAAAAAAGAAAACCCAGAGGCAACACACCCACAAAACCACTAGTTCTGCAAGTATCTCAAGCTGAAGCCAACTTCCCAACCAGGAGCAACGATCAAAGCAGCTTCTCAGACATACTCAGCAAGGCCTCAGCAACTGCCCACGGAAGATGCTCCTGTGTTCATTTATCTCTGGTAAATGACCCATGCTGATGCCTGTACTGCACTCTGCTTCCTGCCTAAGTGAGCAGACTAATGTCCTCCCTGAACACAGCCACCCATGGGTACACAGCAACTCACACACAAGTTTTCCACAAGACAGGCAGAATTTCCCACTCCCATAAGTTCCCATTCATGCAATTACAACTAAACTTGCCATTTGCTAGTGAGAAAGTTATAAGGAGACACTTCAAGGTTTAATTTGTTAAGTGCAGTATTTTTTTTCTTTCACATTTCACTAGGCCTGCCACTACAGACATACCATGTAGAAATGCTCCAGGCGGATTCCATACACCTTCTGCAGGATTCTCATGTAAATCATGTGCAAAACATCAAGCTGCGAGAAGAAGGGACACAAATCAGTAGTCCATATGGCTGATTATTCAGGGCTCCCAGACTAGGCCATAAAAGTAGTTCTGCCTTTAACACATGAAGACCCATTTTACTGAGCCACTAAGACTGAGAAGTTTCACTTTCCAAGAGTTTGCAGTTCAAGCATTACCATCTCATAATACAAACATAACAGGCAGCAATTAGCTCGGACAACTACACTTGCAATGGTCAGAGCTATGCAGTTTTTCATTACACTGCTGCTCACTGAGACGTTTTCAAATCAAGTACTGCCAATTAAAAAAAATACAAATCTATAAAGGTCACAGAAACTATAATGCCTTTCCAAAGCATCCCCTTCATAATGTTATTTAAATGGACGGGCAAAAATACCTACAAGCTAAACAGTTATTAATTTACAGAAATAATCCAGGATCAATTAAAATCTAATTTACTTTTTTTAAATGATCGTCCCATTGCTCCCTAAACAAGCAGAGCCAGCCGCCTTCTCCTCCTCCAGCAGGCACAAGCATGTGCCCAGCAGCACAAGGAATCACACCAAAGCATCGATTAAATTTTAAAGCCATTTCTCTCCTGTGGAGGGCACCCCAAGTCTGCACTGACATTAACGGTCAGACAGATACAAGAAGGAACAAAAAAAAAAGAGTGGAGCAGGAAGGGATGGGATGCTTTTTACCGGATTGGTTTAAAAGCATTAATTGACCAACTACGCTGACGGAACTATGGCACACACATCAGCTATTTTAACCGAGCGCACACAGAACTGGGAAAGACAGGCGGTGTAACTCCAAGTTTGTCGGTTTATGAATCTATCCTCTTGCTGGTGTGCCTTGAGCAAACTCCTCTCAAGCTGAGGAGAAGCTTGAGCTTCTCCTCAGCCCCGTAACCCCTTCGAGACTGACGGGCCGCCCCGGAAGAACCACCACCTCCCTGAAGAGCGGCCCCTGCACGCCAGGGACCTCGCAGGCCGCGGGGCGGGCGCCCAGGAACCCCATCGACCTGCAAGAAGCTACGGCACGGGAAC